TCATATGTAGGCCTACCAGCTCTCTCTCACTACATTGGAAGGCGCTAGAATTTAGGTATTCTAGTACGTCAATAACCCTGGTGTGTAAACCGTACTAGTACATCGGAAACCCTGAAAGGGTTAAAGTGCAAGCATTGTACTTCCCATTTCCAGGACTCGAGTCTGGCTACATTAAAATAACAGGTTTCCCTGAATCCCTTCACTAAAGATTACCCTGCTCACACTCCAACAGCTCGTCTGGTCCCAAATACCATTCGTCTCCATTCACTATCTAACACAGTCACGCACGCTGTTTGAAGTCCAAGCCCATCGCCCACAAAACCTCCTTTACCCCCTCCCTCCAAACTTTTCAAGGACGACCCCTACCCCGCCCTCCTTCCCTTACAGATTTATACGCTCTCCATGTCATTCTACTTTGATCCATTCTCTCTAAATAACCAAACCACCTCAACAACCCCTCTTCAGCCCTCTGACTAATACTTTTATTAACTCCACACCACCTCTTAATTTCCACACTCCAAATTTTCTGCATAATATTTACAACACACATTGCCCTTAGACAGGACGTCTCCACTGCTTCCAACCGTCTCCTTGCTGCAGCATTAACAACCCAAACTTCACACCCATATAAGAGTGTTGGTACTACTATACTTTCATACATTCCCTTCTTTGCCTCCATAGATAACGTTTTTTTGTCTCCACATACATCTCAACACACTACTCACCATTTTTCCTTCATCAATTCTATGATTAACCTAATCCTTCATAAATCCATCTGCTGTCACGTCAACTCCCAAATATCTGAAATTCACTTCTTCCATACTACTCTTCCCTAATTTGATATCCAATTTTTCTTTATCTAAATCATTTGATACTCTCAGCTTTTCTATGTTCACTTTCAACTTTCTACCTTTACACACCCTCCCAAACTTGTCCACTTACATTTGCAACTTTTCTTTAGAATTTCCCATAAGCACCGTATCAGCAAAAATTAACTGTCAATTCCCATTTTGTATTTGATTCCCCATAATTTAATCCCACCCCTCTCCCCGACACCCTAGCATTTACTTCTTTTACATCATCATCTATAAATATATTAAACAACCATGGTGACATTACACATACCTGTCTAAGACCTACTTTTACCGGGAAGTAGTCTCCCTCTCTTCTACACACACTAACCTGAGCCTCACTATCCTCATAACTCTTTACAGCATTTAGTAACTTACTACCTATTCCATATACTCGCAACATCTGCCACATTGCTCCCCTATCCACTCTATCATAAGCCTTTTCTAAATCCATAGATGCAATAAAAACTTCCCTACCTTTATCTAAATACTGTTCACATATATGCTTCAATGTAAACACTTGATCTACACATCCCCTACCCACTCTGAAACAACCTTGCTCATCCGCAATTCTACATTCTGTCTTGCCTCTAATTCTTTCAATAATAACCCTACTGTACACTTTTCCTGGTATACTCAGTAAACTTCTTCCCCTATAATTTTTACAATCTCTTTTGTCCCCTTTCCCTCTTTCAAACATTTATTTAACAAAAATACTGTACCAACCACTCCAACACTATGTCCCCTCCCCCCCCCTGCTTTTAACATTTCTGTCATCATCCTGTCAGTTCCAGCTGCTTTACCCCTTCATTCTATGTAATGCCTCACGCACCTCCCTCACACTCACGTCCTGCTCTTCTTTACTCCTAAAAGATGGTATACTTCCTTGGCCAGTGCACGAAATTACCGCCTCTCTTTCTTCGTCGACATTTAAAAGTTCCTCAAAATATTCTTGCCATCTACCCAAAACCTCCATCTCCCCATCTACTAACTCCCCTGCTCTGTTTTTAACTGACAAATCCATGTTCCCTAGACTTTCTTAACTTAACTCACTCCAAAAATTTTTCTTATTTTCATTAAAATTTCTTGACAGTACCTCTCCCACTATCATCTGCTCTCCTTCTGCACTTTCTCACCACTCTCTTCACCTTTCTTTTACTCTCCATATACTCTGCTCTTCTTATAACACTTCTGCTTTGTAAATACCTCTCATAAGCTACCTTTTTCTCTTTTATTACACCCTTTACTTCTTCATTCCACCAATCACTCCTCTTTCCTCCTGCACCCACCCTCCTATAACCACAAACTTCTGCCCCACATTCTAATACTGCATTTTTAAAACTATTCCAACCCTCTTCAACCCCCCCACTACTCATACCAGCACCAGTCCACCTTTCTGCCAATAGTTGCCTATATTTCACCCAAATTTCCTCCTCCCTTAGTTTATACACTTTCACCTCCCTCTTACTTGCTGTTGCCATTTTCCTCTTATCCCATCTACCTCTTACTCTAACTGTAGCTACAACTAGATAATGATCCGACATATCAGTTGCCCCTCTATAAACGTGTACATACCTTTGAAGAATTTGAAGAGTATATCTACTCTCTGAGCCCGGTCATGGGCCAGGCTCGTCTAGTGCTCGCCTGATCAACCAGGCTGTTGCTGCTGGAGGCCTGCTGCCCCACATATCCATCACAGCCTGGTTGATCTGGCACCTGGTGAAGATACTTGTCTAGTTTCCTCTTGAAGGCTTCTACACTTGTTCCAGCAGTGTTTCTGATATCTTCTGGTAAGATGTTGAGAAGTCTGGGACCCCGGATGTTGATACAGCGTTCCCTTATTGTCCCCACTGCACCCCTGCTCCTCACAGTTTATTTTACATTTCCTCTCATCTCTCTCACTCCAGTATGTTGTTATGGTAGTGTGCAGATTTGGGACCAAGCCCTCGAGTACCTTCCAGGTATATATCATCATGTACCTCTCTCTTCTCCACTCCAATGAGCACATGTTCAAGAATTGCAGGCGTTCCCAGTAGTTTAGGTGCTTTACTGGCTCAATGTGAGCCGTAAACGATCTCTGTATTTGTTCCAGCTCCGACATTTCTCCTGCCCTGAACGGGCCGTTAGCACTGAGCAATATTCTAAGTGAGAGAGCACTAGCAATTTGAAGTGTCACCATTGGCTTTGTTTCTCTTGTTTTGAAAGTTCTCTATACCTACCCAGTCATCTTCCTGGCTGTCGTGATCTTTGTCTTGTTATGGTCTTTAAAAGAAAGATCCGCTGACACAATTATTCCTAGATCTTTTACGTGTTCCTTACGTTCTATTTGGTGACCCTCTTGAATTTTGTATATAGTGCTCCTTTTGAGTTCTTCATTCTTTCCATACCTAAGCAGCTGGAACTTATCACCACTGAACGTCATGTTTTCCACTGCCCACTGGAAAACCCTGTTTATGACTTCCTGTACTTTTTCAGTGTCCTCTACTGTACTGACTTTCATGCTTTTTTAGTGTCATCTGCAAATGATACAAAAGTGTGCCAGGTGTTTTTGTCTATGTCTGCTATGAGGACGAGGAACAACAGAGGTGCCAGGACAGTGCCTTGGGACACTGAGCTTTTGACCTCGCTGATGCTGGATCTTGCCCTGTTCACTACTACTTTTTGTGTTCTATGTGTTAGGAACCCGAAAATCCATCTGCCTACCTTCCCTGTAATGCCCATGGCCTTCATTTTGTGCGCTATCACTCCACGATTGCATTTGTCAAACGCCTTTGCAAAATCTGTGTAAATCACATCTGCGTTTTGGTCGTCTTCCAGTGCCTCCTGGAGTCTACCCATTAACCTCTTATCCACCAATACATAAACTAACAAACTACTTTCATTACGTGCTATATCATACCCTGTATATTTATCTCCTTTTTCATAAAATATGTATTACTTATTACCAAACCTCTTTCTACACAGCTCAGTTAAAGGCTCCCCATTTTCATTTACCCCTGGCTCCCCAAATTTACCTACTACTCCCTCCACAACATCTTTACCCACTTTAGCATTAAAATCCTCACCCACAAGTACATTCACACTTGGTTCAAAACTCCCCATGCATTCACTCAACATTTCCCAAAATCTCTCTCTCTCCTCTATACTTCTCTTTACCCCAAGTGCATATATGCTTACTATAACCCATTTCTCACATCCAACCTTTATTTTACTCGACATAATCCTTGAATTAATACATTTATATTCCCTCCTTTCCTGCCATTGCTTATCCTTCAACATTATTGCTACTCCTTTAGCTCTATTAGAAACCCCTGACCTGATCCCATTTATTCCTCTCCACTGAAACTCACCCACCCCCTTCAGCTTTGTTTCACTTAAAGCCAGGACATCCAGCTACTTTTCATTTTTAACATCCACAATCATCTCTTTCTTATCATTTGCACAACATCTACGCACAAACTTCCCACTTTGACAATTTTCTTTTCAGTAATTTTTACAGGAAAAGGGGTTACTAGCCCACTGCTTCCGGCATTGTAGTTGACTTTTACAACATGCATGGCTTACGGAGGAACAATTCTTATTCCACTTCCCCATGGATATAAAAGGAAAAGTAATAAGAACAAGAACTAAGATAAAATCAAAGAAAACTCATGAGTGTGTATAAATAAACGTGTACATGTATGTTTAGTGTGACCTAAGTGTAAGTAGAAGTAGCAAAACATACCTGTAATCTTGCATATTTATGAGACAGACAAAAGACACCAGCAATCCTACCATCATGTAAAACAATTACAGGCTTTCGTTTTACACTCACTTGGCAGGACGGTAGTACCTCCCTGGGTGGTTGCTGTCTACCAACCTACTACTATTAATTGTATTTACATTAATTCTTATGGGAAACATTGCTTCGAATTTAGGCCGACCTTCTTGAACGGATTACGGCCGAAAAACTAGGTTCCACTGTATACTTTAAAGTTTGATGTCTATAGCAAGACTCAGTTAAAAAATGTTTTCTTACCTGAATTTTTTGTGACTTGTGCATATAATAGGTACTTCTACTACTACACATGATTAGGAGTGTTCCTTAAGTTAGCACTACTACTACAACTACTAAAAAATAACTACTAATAGTAATAATTATAAACTTACTTCTGGCTAAGTTTTGTGATGCCATGGGTGCTATTCTTGAAGGTATTAGAAGATGCAGGGGCAGTAAGGATAATGCTGTGATCATCCAGAATATCAATTTGAACGTCCTGAAAAGTTGATGGCAAAAGAGGTTTGCAGTAACGTCAGAATGTTATCACAATCAAGGGAACATTGTGGGGAAGTGGAGGGTGTAAAAGTACTAAACCTGTAGGTCATACAGCAGCAAGGCAAATGACTGGCATTCAGATTCAATCCAAGGATAGGGAAGACATCCAATTCCCTGGATCATGGGCCCCTTACTACTATCAAGGAACTTACCTCGAGGGCTGTAACAGATTATAATACAGTGGACCCTCAACCAACGATGGCATCGATTAACGATAAATCCGACTAGCGATACATTTTAACGCAAAAAATTTGCCTCAACTAGCGCTAAAAAACTCTACCAACACTATTCCTTCCGTTTGAGACGCGTCCACTTCTGGCTAGTGTTTACAAGCCAGCCAGCCACTGCGGTCGCTTCCAAGCATACAATCTGAACATTTCATATTATCACAGCCTTTTTAGTGATTGCACCTGCAAAATAAGTCACCATGGGCCCCAAGAAAGCTTCTAGTGCCAACCCTACAGCAAACAGGGCGAGAATTACTATGGGTATGAAGAAAGAGATCATTGCTAAGTATGAAAGTGGAGTGCGTGTCTCCGAGCTGCCCAGGTTGTACACAAAACCCTAATCAACCATCGCTACTATTGTGGGCAAGAAAACGGCAATCAAGGAAGCTGTTCTTGCCAAAGGTGCAACTATGTTTTCGAAACTGAGATCGCAAGTACTCGAAGATGTTGAGAGACTGTTATTGGTGTGGATAAACGAAAAACAGATAGCATCTCTCAAGCGATCATATGTGAAAAGGCTAGGAAGTTGCATGACGATTTAATTAAAAAAATGAAAGCAACTAGTGGTGATGTGAGTGAATTTAAGGCCAGCAAAGGTTGGTTTCAGAGATTTAAAGGGAAGGGAAGTAACCCCGGAAAAGGACTTGCCACCACAAGTCCTAATGGAAGGGGATTCTCCTTCTAAACACTAAGACCATCAACACTCTCCCCTCCTTCCATCCCATCAATCATCACCAGATCTTCAATAAAGGTAAGTGTCATGTAACTGTGCATGTCTTCTTCAGTTTGTGTGTATTAAAATTAATATTTCATGTGGTAAAAACAATTTTTTTTCATACTTTGGGGTGTCCTACACAGATTAATTTGATTTCCATTATTTCTTATGGGGAAAATTAACTTGACTAATGATAATTTTGACTAACGATGAGCTCTCAGGAATGGATTAATAGCGTTAGTCGAGGGTCCACCGTACTGTAATTATTCAGTTATTGAAAATGAAAATGGGAGCCTTTGTGCTATGTGTAGAAAGAGGTTTGGTAATAAGTAATACATATTTTATGAAAAAGAGGATAAATAAGCATACAAGGTCAATGGGTAGGCTTCAGGATGTACACGTTTATAGAGGAGCAACTGATATATCAGATCATTTACTCGTAGCTACAGTTAGAGTAAGAGGTAGATGGGAAAAAAGGAAAATGGCAACAAGAGGTGAAAGTGTATAAACTAGAGGAGGAGGAAGGTAGGGCGAGATACAAGCAACTATTAGCAGAAAGGTGGGCTAGTACAAGTATGAGTAGTGGGAGACAGGAGGGGGTTGTAGAGGGTTGGAATAGTTTTAAAAATGCAGTATTAGAATGTGGGGCAGAAGTTTGTGGCTACAGGAGGGTGGGTGCAGAAGGAAAGAGTGACTGGTGGAATGATGAAGTAAAGTGTGTGATAAAATAGAAAAAGGGAGCTTATGAGAGGTTTTTACAAAGCAGAAGTGTTATAAGAAGAGCAGAGTATATGGAGAGTAAATGAAAGGTGAAGAGAGTGGTGAGTGTGTGCAAAAGGAGAGCAGATGATAGAGTGGGAGAGGCAATGTCAAGAAATTTTGATGAAAATTAGAAAAAATTTTGGAGTGAGAAACAAGTTAAGAAAATCTAGGGAACGAATGAATTTACCAGTTAAAAACAGTAGGGGAGTTAGTAGATGGAGAGCTGGAGGTATTGGGTAGATGAGGGAATATTTTGAGTAACTTTTGAATGTCGATGAAGTAAGGGAGGAGGTAATTTCATGCACTGGTCAAGGAGGTATACCATCTTTTAGGAGTGAAGAAGAGCAGGATGTGAGTGTGGGGGAGGTGAGCGAGGCATTACGTAGAATAAAAGGGGTAAAGCAGCTGGAATTGACATTGACAGGATCATGACAAATGTTAAAAGCAGGGGGGAAGGGTCCAGGTATTCTCTGTGTGAAGGATCCATTTCTACTGCAGTGTTTGACACGATGGAAATAAATGGTATAAAATACCGACACAATGGCAATATAAACACAAATGCAGTATAATGTGATCCTTTATTGACTACGTTTCGCCCACACAGTGGGCTTTTTCAAGTCACAAACAGAACTCTGTGGGCGAAACGTAGTCAATAAAGGATCACATTATACTGCATTTGTGTTTATATTGCCACGGGGAAGGGGAAAGTGTTGGAGTGGTTGGTATTTTTGTTTAATAAATTTGAGAGAGAGGAAGATACCTACGGATTAGCAGAGAGCTTGTATAGTTCCTTTATATAAATTGAATGAGGACAAAAGAGATAGTAAAAATTATAGGGGAAGAAGTTTACTGAGTATACCAGGAAAAGTGTACGGTAGGGTTATTATTGAAAGAATTAGAGGCAAGACAGTAGGATTTCAGAGAAGTAAGGAGGCTTTAGAGTGGGTAGGGGATGTATAGATCAAGTGTTTACATTAAAGCATATATGTGAACAGTATTTAGATAAAGGTAGGGAAGTTTTTATTTCATTTATGGATTCAGAAAAGGCATATGATAGAGTGGATAGGGGAGCAATGTTGCAGATGTTGCAAGTATATGGAATAGGTAGTAAGTTACTAAATGCTGTAAAGAGTTTTTATAAGGGTAGTGAGGGTCAGGTTAGGCTGTGTATTATTATTATTATTATAATTATAATCAAGGGGGAAGCGCTAAACCCAGAGGATTATACAGCGCCTGGGGGGGGGGGATGTGGAAGGCATTCAGGCTTAATTCGGGGAACTGGAGCACAAATCCAATTCCCTAAATCAAGAGCCCCTCACCAACATCAAGGGACCTTCCTTGAGGGAGTTAGGCTGTGTAGAAAAGGAGATTACTTCCTGGTAAAAGTAGGTCTTACACAGGGATGTGTAATGTCACCATGGTTGTTTAATATATTTATAGATGGGGTAGTAAAAGAAGTAATGGCTAGGGTGCTGGCAAGAGGGGTGGGATTAAATTATGGGGAATCAAATACAAAATGGGAGTTGACAGTTACTTTTTGCTGATGATACTGGGCTTATGGGAGATTCTGAAGAAACGTTGCAAAAGTTAGTGGGTGAATCTGGGAGGGTGAATAAAGGTAGAAAGTTGAAAGTGAACATAGATAAGAGTAAGGTGATGAGGGTATCAAATGATTTAGATAAAGAAGAATTGGATATCACATTGGAGAGGAGTATGGAAGATGTAAATTTTTTTTTTTTTTTTTTTTTCAACAATTCGGCCGTCTCCCACCGAGGCAGGGTAAATGTTTTCAGATATTTGGGAGTTGACGTGTCAGCGGATGGCTTTATGAAGGACGAGGTTAACCATAGAACTGATGAAGGAATAAAGGTGAATGGTGCATTGAGGCATATGTGGAGACGAAAGAAATTTTATCTATGGAGGCAAAGAAGAGAATGTATGAGTATAATGGTACCAACTCTCTTATATGGGTGTGAAGCTTGGGTTGTAAATGCTCCAGCAAGGAGGCGGTTGGAGGCACTGGAGATGTCCTGTCTAAGGGCAATGTGTGGTGTAAATATTATGCAGAAAATTCGGTGTGGAAATTAGGAAAATGTGTGGAGTTAATAAAAGTATTAGTCAGAGGGCTGAAGAGGGGTTGTGGAGGTGGTTTGGTCATTTAGAGAGAAGGACCAGAGCATATCAATCTGTAGGGGAAGGAAGGCGGGGTAGGGTCATCCTCGAAAACGTTGGAGGGAGGGGGTAAAGGAGGTTTTGTGGCCAAGGGCCTTGGACTTCCAGCAAGCATGCATGAGTGTTAGGAGTGAATGGAGCCGAATGGGTTTTGGGACCTGAAGAGCTGCTCGAGTGTGAGCAGGGTAATATTTAGAGAAAGGATTCAGGGAAACCGGTTATTTTTATATAGCCAGACTTAAGTACTGGAAATGGGAAGTACAATGCCTGCACTTTAAAGGAAGGGTTGGGATACTGACAGTTTGGAAGGATATGTTATACATCTTTATATATGCTTCTAAACTGTTGTATCTGAGCACCTCTCCAAAAAGTGATTATATATGAGTGAAATGAAAGTGTTGAATGATGAAAGTATTCTTTTTTGGGGATTTTCTTTCTTTTTGGATCACCCTGCCTTGGTGGGAGACGGCCGACTTGGGGGTGGGGGGGTCAGTTATTGATACGTATTTAATATCATTGCGAGTTTCCCATTATTTTTTTTTAAGTTGATCATAGTATATTCCTGGAGTCAGTAGGCAATGGCAATCTTCCTTATTAAAACTAAAGGTTGTTTCCGTCACTCTGCAATTTTCAACTTATTGTCTGCAGTTCCAATGCCTTTAATTACTCTCAAAAATACTCCTCAGGAATTATCAATAAACTAAACAATCAAACTTATCTTAAATAACATTTGTTGAGAAGTTAAAAAAAATTAGTACACCTATCAAACTGGATGCTGCCTGACTAATATAAACAGCCTTTAACCCTTTCAGGGTCCATGCTGTAGTTCGACGGCTTTGAGTTGAGGGTCCTCCAAACCATAGATCTACGCCATGAGCTCAGCTCTCTGATAAGCTGTGAGCAGTAAATTTGAGCCTAGATATGATAGAATACATCTATGTGGTATGTGTGCACCATATAAAACAAATCCTGCAGCACACAGTGCATAATGAGAAAAAAAACGAAACAGTAATTTTCTATTAAAACGGCGACTTTGCAGTTTTGTGTTTTTTATAGTTGTATTTG